GAAGTACCTGAAGTAGTAGCATTCATAGAATAATTTAACATTTTTTGCGAATTTGCAGTATCAATTTCGCATAAGTCTACGTACATGGACTTTGCGACATAAAAATCATTAAAAAATGCTGTTCTTATAACATTTTCTGGTTCTAAATCGGTGTCAGCTTCATTTGCAAGACTAGAAATAATATTTTGATGCTGTTTTATAAAGTCATCTTTGAGAACATCAAGTTCTGCACATCCAACTTTAAATAAACTGCGAACTGTTTTATCAGTTTTGGTACGTTCTGCTAACTGTAATAAATATTGAATTTCTGAAATAGAATTACTTCTATTGTTTTTCAGTTTTCTTAAGCGTATTTGTTCAGCCATAATTACTAAATTATGAAATGAAGTACAAAATAATATTATTTATTTGAATCTCCCTCGTAGTATAAACATAAAAATAACAACAAATAAAAAAAACTTGAAGTGCGTACGCTTATCAGTAAAATTATTGATTTGGTGAACAGTTCCCTTAGACGACGCAATTACTACTGACCATCGATAGAATGTCCGTTGGCTATAGCGCAAATCTGTGGAATCTAAAATGGCCAGGCGCGGAATGGAACTGGCGATGCGGTCTTGCGCTGATAATATTGAAAAGAGAGAAAAAAAAAGGAAAATTTAAATCTTAGAGAATAATAACTGTAGTTAATATGAACTTTTTTTATAGAAATGAATGTAGGAAAATAGATATTGATAGAAAATCTAAATGCGAAAAAAAATAGGAGAGAAAAAAAAATAACTTTTTTTTTACTTTCAAAAGTTCGCTATATCCGGCGTTATCTGGCTCGAAGGACCAATGTTTAGAAAGGAAATAGAGAAATGTTTGATTGTTTTTAACATACTCGATAAAATAAGAATTCCTGCTAAAATAAAACACGTGGTACGAGGTCGGCTTACCTTGGAGGGTTGGAGTCTTCTCCTGGGTGGCCACCCTGTATCTGGATCAGGAAGAACTACTCGCACGAGTAAACGGTACCGAATTGGTACGAACTTTTGAAGATTTAAAATAAAGTTATTTGCGGCGGCGGCGGTTAGCACGTTGAATCGATCTCTCGTTAGATGCGGTTCTTGCGGGATCTTTCAATCAAGTGTATTGTGGTCCAAGGTTAATTGATGCAGGCGTGTTTCAGCCCTTTGGAATAACCTCCCTAGTACCACATATGCGTATACAATAAATAATAGAATAAATTAATATTGAATTTAAAATTAAAAAGATAAAATTAAATATATTTTGAGAGTTTCCTAAACAATATACGTCAATCAATCCCAATTTATGTCATATACTAACATACCAAATCTCGTTTTTTAACTAAAAAAAAATATAAAAAAGTTATAGGGGTGAGCCACTTTTGAGACTCACCCGGTATATATTCTTCTACTATTTTCAGTTTTGTATTATTTATTAGAATGCCTTTTCTGTCGACTAGTCCTTGTACATTACTTTAGTTTTTGCTAAATTCATTTTGAGACCTTTTATTGTTGACTATATTTAATACGTTAATTTGTGTTTGTAGTTCTGCAGGGTTATTGGCAATTAGGACTATGTCGTCAGTGAATCTTAGATTGTCAAGATATTCTCCATCTATTTTTAATCCTTTGTTGGTTTGTTGGCACTCTAGTTGAAGGAATATTTCTTCTATTGTTGCTGTAAATAGCTTCGGGGTTGGTTGTGGATGGTCGCGTCATACTCCTTTGCCAAAGGGACCTCTGGGGGTTTTTTATATAGCATTAATCTTGCTTTGGCTTTTTTGTATAATATCGCGAGAGTTTCTATATAAAGTCTGTCAGTTACTCTGCTTTGCTAGGGCTTCTATTATTACCTTAAGTGGAAAGCCATCTCAAAGTCTATAAAGGCTATGGCTAGTGGAAATTCGTATTCTTTTGTTCAGTTGATAGTCTGATATAACTTGTAATCTTTTTTATGTTACTTGACGTGAGAGAAATATGTTATGAAATATAACTTAAAAATAAAATCTAAATGTTGGGCGCCACTATTATTACCTCATATTATTACGGTTGGCATTTAATAGGATTAACTAATAAATTTATAAAAATAATTTTGTTAAATCCTGTATAGTAATTGTTTCCCAAAAGTGGCTCACCTCTATAGCTTTTCTAGTTTTCCAGATCATAAAACGAAATTTGATATGTAAGTATACGACATAAATTGGGATCGATTGACGTATTAAAATTCAATTACTTTTGGTCACTTTTGCTTCAACAGAAATGACTACAGACTTCTTTTTGATTTTTAAATGGTACCTCAGATATTTTGATATTTTCCATTAAAAAATATAGCTTTCTACTTTTTCAGTTGTGCCATGGCTCTGTTTAAATCATAATTTGTGTTTATAATCAAGGAGCTTCGTAAAATTAGATTTGATCATCTAATGTTTTCCTTGTGTCTTCCTGGTTGGTTAAAATAATTTTTTTTAAGAATAATTTTTACCACACTTGTTATTTCGAGTGAAATTGTCGTTACATTTATGGCCATGGCACCCTAGATTGAAATATGAATTGCTATGTTTTTAATTAAAAATGTCAAAAGTTGACATATTATACAGAGAAGACCAGGCTACTAGTAACATAGCAAGTTGCCGGACGAATTTACGTTTACACGATTTGCGTTCGTACTCGAGATTCACTGCCGGCTAGTCGGCTGGTCAGGCAGTACGCAGTTGCAGTTGAGCTTGGACGGGTCGGTCGTGACAGACTAGGAATACGACGCGAGGAGTGCCGAGTATTTATTATTTTCATTTTAAGTGTTTACCTTCACTTAAGGTAACATTTAAAATTAAAATACTTAAATATTTATTATTTGGGAGTGTTTACAAGCCAAAACTAAAAATAAATAAATTCTCTAAACCCCAAAAAAACTAAAATACTACCTACTCTAAATAAAAAAAAATTAGAACAAGTGTTCAAAAAGACCACCTTCTTGTGCTAGACAGAAGGTCGTAAAGTCCCCGTCTGACATTGGCTAACATATTAGGGCTAATAGTTTGGAAAGCCTCTCGTATTTTTACTTGAAGCTCATCCAGATTGTTAGCCCTATTACGACCATACACTTTGGATTTTACATAACCCCACAAAAAGAAATCATTGGGAGAAAGATCTGGTGACCTAGCGGGCCACAAAATAGTTCCATGTCCACTAATTAAACGGTTGGGAAAAGTATTGTTCAAATATTCTTGAACAATACAGGCATTGTGGGCAGGGCAACCACCTCAGCAATTTGATTACTTAAAAACGTGGTATTTTGATTCGCGGTAGCACAAATAAACACTTGCTTTAACTCCTAGTGGGGACACGCACCCATGTGTTTCAATATTATTAATAACTCTTGATATAGTAGGTAGACATGAAATTGGCCTGTTTACAAAAGTTTGTGGAAAAATTGTTTATATATCATGATAAGACCTGTTTTGGAAATACCATTTTACAATTTGAATTGTCTTATGAACTTCGTAAACATCCATTATTTTACTTAAAAAATCAATTTTACACGAGAACTGTCGCGAGAATCTGTGTATTCGTTTTGGCTATTAAAACACGAATAAATACAAATTCTGAAACATTCTTATCACATATCTACCTATTTTTATTTTACCGCATTTTTTCGCCTGCTTTTTATCCGGCGCAGCGGAAGGGTCTCCGTTAATTTGTCCGGTTATAATTATTATACGTTAATTCGTCCAGTCTATTCAGAATGTCATGGTTCTATCAAATAATCCAAAAAATACCGAGGGTTCCGTTTAAAAATCAAAAGTTGTAGCCATTTCCGGTGAAACAGGAAGTGATTGAAACTAATTGAATAGGTTAATCAATTCCGATTTATGCCATATACTAATATGCCAAATTTCGGTTTTATATCTGAGAAAATAAAAAAGTTTAGAGAAGTATATATATAATTATTTCTTTGACGATTACATCTGTTTCGCAATGGTACGAGTTGTCCGTTTGCACTAATAAAGTAACACCATACCACCAAAGGTGCCCGGTGGCGTAGAGGCACAGGCTCTCGTTTACCAATCTCAAGGTAGTGGGTTCGAATCCCACATCCGGCATTGCATCAAAATAAAAATAGTTTCGGTACCTAGGTCGACTCAGCCTTAAATGAGTACTTGCGATTCACAATCCTGAGGTAATAATAGGCGGTTGAAGCGTAGTGCTAGCCACATTATCTTCCTTGTATACCGAACGGCTCTAGTATGGCAAGCTGTACCTTGCTACTTCCAAGGCGTTAAACGCTATATACGGGAGCTATTATTATTATTTTTATATTATAAGTAACACCATAAACATTAAAAAACAGGGTTAGTCTTACACAGTACAAAATATACAGGGCGAGTCTTAAATAAGTGCAAATTTTTCAGGGCTGCTAGATCTTGACAAAAGAAACACATTTTCTATTTACCGTTTTTCAAATAATTCCAAAATAACCTAGTAAAATACTTTAAAAGTTTAAGAAAAAAAATGATTTTTTGGTTAAATTTTGAGTCTACTACCTATGTTGCCATAAAATGAAGATATTATGTTTTTTACCTAAAATTAAAAAATTTTCAATTTTTTTTTTCGCGAAAAAACTTAAGACGTATTTCTGGGTTCGAAATATACTACCCCTTAAAATATTTGCACTTAGTTAAGACCCACCCTGTATATATCTTTGCTATTAAAATAAAGCTGGACGAAATTCAAGGCTTATGAGTGAGTTGCTATTGCTCGTATCATCCAGTTATATTAGATGCTGGGCCCAACAAAATAAGAACCAAACAGTTCAACAAAATAACATGTCTTTCTTAATGATTACCACAAGAAATCCATAATTCAAAAAAGTTACAAGATATTGTATAGCATAGAAGATATCTGGAAGATTATATGACGACGCGACGTATCCAATAGAAAACATAAGGTTCTCTCAATTGGAACGAAAATTGACATCATGTTTCTATTTTGCAGGTGTAATGGATCAAAGCTTTGGTCAATATGTTACTCCACCATGCTCACCAGCAGCAAGGGAGGAGTTTGAACAATTTACACCTCCGATTAGCCCAAGAGGTAAAAGATTATATTAACTAAAGTTACATATATTGAACTTTTTTTTTTGTGAAATATAGTTGGATAAGATCAACATTTTTACTTTGCAGGTATAGGAGTATGTACGCCTCAATTACCTGAAGCTGGTAATTTAGCAGATATATACCAAGAAGATACTAGAGGTTTCCTGGAGGAAAGTTTTATAGGAGCTCAATCACCTCTTAATTTGTCGGGTATATAATTTAATCTTTATAGTATTATTAAGTGTAATTTCTAATTCTAGTAGAGTTATTTAATTTTGGTCTCTTAAACTTGTATAACTTCATTAGTCTAGTCAAATTGAGTCAAAAATGTTTCTATTTAATATGTTTCCTGGGGTACTGGATTCGAGAATTTGAGGTTTGCCAACAATATTTCTTGAAGGAACATTGAAATTGCAAAAAAAAATATTTTATATCTAATTTTAGCTACCCTGATGAAAACCACCTAGGGTATAGAACGATTGAGGATGTGCAAATAGTCGATAGTGTCTATTATTGTCTCATAAGAAAGTTTTCCTGTAAACTCCACAAAACAAGAACACGCTGATATAGCATATCGTAGTATAACTATAGTGGTCGGAACATTTTATCAGGCAAAAATTGATTCACAACAGATATTGATTCAAATCTTTTATGTTTGGCCAATTAACCAAAAATGTAACAGTAAAGAGGAAAGATGATTTTTGGTGGCATTGATCTGTATAACATTGATGTTAAAATTTTTATATAGGAAAAATATCGTAAATTTTGTATTATGCTCGTCTTGCAGCTGACAAAACTTTGACTGATCATGTATTCCTCCTGCATACTATGGGTGTGGTGACAGATCTTCCGCATTGTTTAAACAGGGAAAACTAAAATTTTTAAAAAGTCTTCTAATAAAACAATAACTTACATGAAGACATTCTCAGAGAATGTCTTCGTCTCTCTCGTAACCCGAAACAGTTGCAGCATTAGTCGTAGGGTCCACATTTTGAATGTTCTCATTCTGTTTATAGATGCTACTTTCAGTGTCCATGCTTCTACACATATAGAACGGACCAGGGCCCGTATTCTGTAACTTTGAAAACGCTAAGCGCTTTTAGACGCTCAGCGTCTATGACGTTAATTCGTAAATCGCTGAGCGGGCACTTAATTAATGATTTCGATATTCTCGTCTGACGCGCTTAGCGTTTTTACTGATTGCGCTTTGAAAACGGTTGCCTTAAAGCATCGTTTTGCTTGTCGAACTGTCAGTGAAAATCGAAAAAATTGTGATTTTGTGTGTTATCTTGTTCTTTAGTGAAAATTACTACTTCTTCTATAAATTCCTCAATAAGTAATTGATAATTTTCGACTTGGCAGCTATAAATATTGCTCAAAATATCGAAAATGCTGAGAAGCGTCTTCAACACTTCCCTCGTGTAATAAGAATAATAACATATCCATAGAAAAATAGCTTGACATAACTCAACAATAGGTTATGAAATTCACGTAATATTGACATTTTTCATTGTTACATTCGTCATTTATCAACTTTTGGCTATTACCTACATTAGAAATTGTGATGTTGCCAATATGGGCCCAACGCGTACCCTGAATACGATTCGCATGGCAACGAGAATACTAAAATCGACTGCCTTGCGTTTCGCTGATCGAATACTTGCGCTCACCGCTTTGAAAGCGTAACGTTTTTATGTCAAAGTTACAGAATTCGGGCCCTGGATACGCGTTAAGTACATATTGGCAACATCACAATTTCTAATGTAGGTAATAGTCAAAAGTTGATAACTGACGGATGTAACAATGAAAAATAGCAATGTTACGTGAATTTCATAACCTATTGTTGAGTTATATCAAGCTATTTTTCTATGAATATGTCATTATTTTTATTATACGAGGGAAGTGTTATTAGAATACGGGCCCAGGGCGTTACGCTTTCAAAGCGGTGAGCGCAAGTATTCGATCAGCGAAACGCAAGGCAGTCGATTTTGGTATTCTCGTTGCCATGCGAATCGTGTTCTGGATACGCGTTGAGCACATATTGGCAACATCACAATTTCTAATGTAGCTAACAGTCAAAAGTTGATAACTGATGGATGTAACAATGAAAAATGTCAATGTTACGTGAATTTCATAACCTATTGTTGAGTTATGTCAAGGTATTTTTTTTATAAATATGTCATTATTCTTATTATACGAGGGAAGTGTTGAAGGCTCTTCTCAGCATTTTCGATGTTTTGAACAATATTTATAGCTGCCAAGTGGTAAATTATCAATTACTTATTGAGGAATTTATATAAGAAGTATTAATTTTCATTAAAGAGCAAGATAACGCACAAAATCACAAATTTCGATTTTCACTGACAGTTCGACAAGCAAAACGATCCTTTAAGGCAACCGTTTTCAAAGCGCTTAGCGCAATCAGTAAAGACGCCAAGCGCATCAGATGAGAATACCCAAATCGGTAATTAAGTGCGCGCTCAGCGAAAATTAACGTTATATACGCTCAGTGTCTAAAAGCTAAGTTACAGAATTCGGGCCCTGGGCCCGAATTCTGTAACTCCGAAAACACTAAGCGCTTTTAGACGCTCAGCGGATTGCAGAGAGTTGCGTTCTGTGTCTCGAACAGGACCGGAATTCCTTGCACCTGAGTATACAAGATCAGGTGCGGCATGCAAAAGATATCCACCCAAGAGTTCCGGTCAGATATATTTGCCCCATATGTGAAAAGTTCTTCCCTAAGTGTCCCAAGAGGGAGGCGGCGGCTCTGCCTAATGAAGGCCTCACGAGCGAGGCGGAAAATGGAGAACCCGTGCCGCACAAGGGGTCTTATGAATCAGTCGTGCCCCGACTGCGGTGGTGTTTAGCCAGGCCGTGGTGCGCTGACCACGCACCAAAGGCACAGGCACCCCGTCACCCGAGTGAGAGGCACCACAATGAGGCGAGGGCAGCTGGTACCCGCCAAGTCACTCCTCCCCCACTTAATATAGAGTTCACTAAATACCATGTTGGAGTGTGAACTTTGGTACCAGGGTGATGGGTTTATGATGGTCAGAATGCGTGAGAAGTTGCCACACCTAAATCTGCACCAGTTAAGTTGGCAAAGCAAGGCCGGGAGGTAGCAGTAACTGTGAAAACTACAGTGACGCACCACAGTGGTGGGAATCTCAAACCCGACCTGGTAATACAAAACCGGGGAGGGCTCTTCGTGGTCGATGTAATAGTCCGCCACGAAGATGGGAACAATCTCGCTATTGGTCGACAAACTAAATACGAGAAATATAGCCGTCTGCTACCTCAGCTAAAGCAACAGTTTGGTTCACCTGTTGCCGAGGTACTACTAGGGTTGCCACCTGGCCGGTTTTCCTTTAACAAGGCCGGGTGCCGGTTAGCATCCAAAAAAAGCCGGTTTTCTTCTTTAGTTCATTCATATCAACAACCAGACAACCACAACATCATCACCAAATCGAAAATCGAACTCTCCAGTCATTATTGTAATTAAATAGTACAGTGTAACAGTCCAAATTTAGCTTCAACTAGGTTTAAAAATATATACCAATTTTGCTTACAAGTTAGATCAAACTCTTATTTATGCTGATAAATAAATTTATTGCATTTAATTTTTATAAACAGATATTCATTACAGCTATATTTCATTCTCTTTCTTACTCTGTTTTGCTTAATTTATTTTGCTGTCCATGCCATATATCAGTCAGTAATCAATCAGTAATGATCTAAAATATAATTAAAATGTATTATCTTATGCTAATATAATCAAATTCACCAAAACATTACCTTTATTTCCTGGACTTGTTTATGTTTCTGAATGTTAGCCTATTTGCCGTAATTTCTAGTAGTTCCACGGTACTGCTTGCCCTTCTATTATCTTAGAAGATTTATCAACAAGTGTGGATTGTCTCTAAAATATTATTTGATCCTATATTTCATTATAGAGCCCAAAATGAAGTTATTTACCTGCATATTTTTTGAAATTTATCATTTGTTTATTTTCTGCAAATTGTAAGGTTAACAATTATTATTAATAATGTCATTTAAATTTGAATTGCTCAGATCAGTTGAGATTAGTGTATTCGGCGCACACACGCTGTTGTCAGGTTACTTCCTTTAAATTCTGATGTTTGTATTTTCTGATAATTATTGATTGCATAATCGACATCCTTTCCGTAATATTTTGTGTGCATCATCACCGGCATAAGGTTTGGTATGTTTGTGAATGGTTAATGGAATTTACTTTTAATTCTAAGTAATGTTTATTTTGGCAATGTTTCTAAATTCCCAGAATATTAAATTGCAACTTTGCAGTATAAGTCAAATTTCTTCGGAGCGGAACTCTATCTGATCGATGTAGGTTTCCCATTTTTCCCTTCAGCTTCAAAGCAGGTGTTTTAGTCAGTGTAATTTGTTGGAATTTTCCTGTTTTACCCGTTTGTTGGGGATAATCACTGACTAGAACTATAAGGGATACTTTTGCTGTTTGAGTTGTACCTTACCTTTTAAAAGTATCTCTGAGCCGTTTTATACGGGATTTTAATCTGCTCGTGGCTGGTAAGTTTTTTTGATCGCCATTTTGTCTAGTGTGATTTGTACTATTCAAATTATTTCTTAACAGGGAAAGCCTTTTGATTTATTTCTTTGTCATCGTCGATTTTCTTGGGAAGAGGAACTTAAAACCACCACTTGTTCCAGTAATTTCTGCTTTCTGAATCCAGCAATTTGAACATCCATCTATTAGAAAAAAAAACTACATTTTTTTGTGAAGCCCAGCAAGGTAACTTTTTATGATATTTTCTATATTTCTACAGTTAAAACGTGTTTTGGTTATTTAATTAATTATAGCTGTATGTTCCTTTTGTTTCAAACTATTCCTTCTAGGTAACTTTCTTTTATTTCGTAAACCTAATACCGCTCTCGGTTTTAGGGCTTTTTGGACTAGGATTTTTTAAGACCAGGATTGTTCCCACCAGACTTTTAAGACCAGGATTTTTCCACCAGGATTTTTCTGGCTTGCTTTTTCTGGCAGACTTTTTGCAGTACGTCTCTCTGGAAGTGATTTCCCTCTACAGCACTCAGCTTGGCAAATACGTCGCTGGATCAGATCGGAAGCAGAGACAAGTAAACGTTACTGAAAATTTTATCTTCCCCTATTTGTTTTTTTTTCCTTTTCTTACTTACCTTTTTTTTTATCTTAT